GCCTTCTCACGTGCAGCGTCACCTCTGCCCTGCCTGCTCACCTGCAGTGCCACCCCTGCCCTGGCACCTGCCTGCTCACCTGCAGTGCCACCCCTGCCCTGCCTGCTCACCTGCAGTGCCACCTCTGGCACCTGCCTGCTCACCTGCAGTGTCACCCCTGCCCTGGCACCTGCCTGCTCACCTGCAGTGCCACCTCTCACACCTGCCTGGCCACCTCTAGTGTCACCCCTGGCCCTGGCATCACCCTGGGTGGCCCTGGCACCCCCACCCCGCTACCTTCCCGTGTCACCTCTCAGCCCTGTCACCCACCCCGTCACCTTTCCCCATCACCTTTCCCTGTCACCCACCCTGTCACCCACCCTGTCACCTTTCCCCGTCACCTTTCCCCGTCACCCCGCAGCCCACCCTGGCTCTGCCACCCCCCTGCAGCCCAGTCAAATTCGGTCCCTGTCCCTCAGTGTCGGGGACCGGCCACCGGCTGCCACAGTGACCCCGTGCTCGGCGTGTCCCGTGTCCCCTCCCGTGGGACCCGGGGGCCCGATCCCCACGGACACACGGACACCAGGGACACACGGACACGTGTCCCCCGTGTCCCCCGTGTCCCCAGGAGCCCCTGGGGGCTCTGAGACACACGGACACATGGACACATGTCCCCCGTGTCCCCCGTGTCCCCGCGTGGCTCTGAGCCCTCTGTCCCCGTCCCCGCAGACGCCGAGGTGCTGCTGGACAGCGAGCACAGAGCGCTGCCCCCGAGGGACTTCAGTGCCCCACATCTGCCCCACAGCGAGGGGACAAAGCCACTGCCACCGGGGGCCAGGAGGTGGGGACAGGAGGGGACCCCGAGGTGGGGCAGAGACAGGAGGGGACCCCGAGGTGGGGCAGGGACAGGAGGGGACCCCGAGGTGGGGCAGAGACAGGAGGGGACCCCGAGGTGGGGCAGGGACAGGAGGGGAATCGGGGGGACGAGGGGGGAGGAAGAGGAGGGGAACGGGGAGGGGATGAGGAGGGGGAATAGAAAGGGTCAGTGCGGGAGAGGAAGGGGAGGGGACCTGGGGTGGCACAGCAGGGGGACAGGAGGTGATGGGAGGGGCTCGGGGTGCCCTGTCCCTGTCCCCAGGGTGTCCCTGTCCCTGTCCCCAGGGTGTCCCTGTCCCTAGGGTGTCCCTGTCCCCAGGGTGTCCCTGTCCCTGTCCCCAGGGTGTCCCTGTCCCTAGGGTGTCCCTGTCCCTGTCCCCAGGGTGTCCCTGTCCCCAGGGTATCCCTGTCCCCAGGGTGTCCCTGTCCCTGTCCCCAGGGTGTCCCTGTCCCCAGGGTGTCCCTGTCCCCAGGGTGTCCCTGTCCCTGTCCCCAGGGTGGCCGTGCTGCGCTGGGAGCTGCCGCAGTTCAGCTCTCGTGGCCGGGAGCTGCTGGGCCGGGGCTCCATGGCCCGCAGGCACCTGCGAGCGGCCGGGTTCCTGCTGGCCGAGGTGAGCGCTGGGCAGGGCTGGGAAACCTCCCTGGGACCCCCTGGCTGTCCCCAGGGCCACCAGGGCCACCACCCACCCTGGCCCCAGGGGGGACAGCAGCTGGGTGCCATTGTCCCCTGGGCACACCTGGGGCACACCTGGGCACACCTGGGGCACACCTGGGCTCACAGGGGCACACCTGGGCACACCTGGGCTCACAGGGGCACACCTGGGCTCACAGGGGCACACCTGGGCACACCTGGGCTCACAGGGGCACACCTGGGCACACCTGGCTCCCCTGGGATGGAGGCACCGGCACCTCCTGGGGGCTGCCAGCTCCCCCCAGCCCGGGCTCAGCAGGGATGAGCCACCGTGATCCCCCCGGGGCCACCTGCCAGGTGCCGGGGGGGGACAGGGGTGACAGGGAGGTGACACAGACGAGCTGATCCCGTGGGGTCAGCCAGGATTAACCCCTGCGGGTAATTATAGCCCGGGGGGAGTGTGACAGCCACGTGTCACCCCCCGGTGTCACCCCCCGGTGTCACTGCCAGCCCCCGGTGTCACTGCCAGCCCCTGGTGGTGTCACTGCCAGCCCCGGGTGTCACCCTCCGGTGTCACTGCCAGCCCCGGGTGTCACCCTCCGGTGTCACTGCCAGCCCCCGGTGTCACCCCCCGGTGTCACTGCCAGCCCCCAGTGTCACTGCCAGCCCCCGGTGTCACTGCCAGCCCCCGGTGGTGTCACTGCCAGCCCCCGGTGGTGTCACTGCCAGCCCCCAGTGTCACTGCCAGCCCCCGGTGGTGTCACTGCCAGCCCCCGGTGTCACTGCCAGCCCCCAGTGTCACTGCCAGCCCCCGGTGGTGTCACTGCCAGCCCCCAGTGTCACTGCCAGCCCCCGGTGTCATTGCCAGCCCCCGGTGTCACTGCCAGCCCCCGGTGGTGTCACCGGCACACCTGGGCGGGCGCTGGGACCCCGGATTGGTGAGGACAGGAGGGGACACAGCGGGGACCCCGGGGTGCTGCCACGTCCCCGTGTCCCTGCAGGTGCCCCACTACGAGTTCCTGGAGCTGAAGCTGGAGCGGCAGCGCGTGGCCTACCTGAAGGACAAGGTGGCCAAGGCCCTGGCCGGTGACACCGCAGGGGACACGGCCACCGACACGGCCGCCTGAGCCGCCCGCGTGGCCTCGCCTCGGGCAGGTGCCGCGTCCCTGTGCCAATGTGACCGGGTCACCGTGCCCGGGTGGCCCTGTCACTGTGCCCGGGTGGCCGTGTCACCATTGTGAGGTGGTCACATCACCGGGTCACCGTGCCCGGGTGGCCGTGTCACCGCAGCGAGGTCCCCGATGTCCCCACGCGGCTCCAGCCTTGCTGCTCCATGGCACAAACGGCTCAAATAAACCCAAAGCTGTACAGGGACAGTGGCTGGGCCTGGTGGCACTGGGGACAGGTGGCATCAGGGATGGGTGACACTGGGGACAGGGGACACGGGACAGGTGGCATCAGGGATGGGTGGCACTGGGGACAGGTGGCATCGGGGATGGGTGACACTGGGGACAGGTGGAACTGGGGACAGGTGGCATCAGGGACAGGTGACACGGGACAGGTGGCATTGGGGATGGGTGGCACTGGGGACAGGTGGCATCGGGGATGGGTGCCACAGGGGACTTTGGGGACAGTGGGGATGGCTGGCATTGGAGACACGTGACACTGGGGACAGTTGCCATCAGTGCCAGGTGCATTTGGAGCTGGGTGACATCTGGGCTGGGTGACATCGGGGCCAGGTGACATCAGGAATGGGTGACATCGGGAATGGGTGACATCGGGGTTGGGTGACATCGGGGTTGGGTGACATTGGGGCTGGGTGACATCAGGGTTGGGCAGTGCCGTGGGTGGGTGACAGTGGGTGACAGTGGCATCCGTGTTGGTGGCACGTGGCTGTGCCCGCGCCCCCCGTGTCCCCCAGGCCGGGCCCGCCGGTCTGAGCCGGGATCGGGATCAGGAGCCCGTTTATTCCCGATTATCCCGGGATTGTCCCCGGCCAGGGCGGGGACAGGGGGCAGCGGCGGGGGGAGGGGACACCGGGGACTCCGCGCTTTGGGGGTGTCACCTCCCGGCCGGGGGGGGCTGGGGACAGCCCTGGGGTGACGCGGTGGGGCCGGGAAGGGCTCTGGGGACGGCTTGGTGGCCCCGGGACCCTCCGGGGGGGGGACACGGCGGTACCGGGGGGGACACGGCGGTACCGGGGGCGGACACGGCGGCCCGGGAGCTGCTGAGTCACCGCTCGGGGCCGCGCCTGGCACCGCCAGCCCGGGGGGGACAATGCCCGCCCTCATCCGCACCCCGGGGGGACACGGGGGGAACGCGCGGCTCCTCCCCTCCCCCACCGCTGTCACCACACCCGCCCAGGCGATTTTGGGGGGGGGCTCCGCCCTGTGCCCCCCTCCCCAATTCCCCCCCCCCCAGGACACAGCGGGACGCTCGTCCCCCTTTCTGAAGAGACAAAGTGGGGGAAACTGAGGCCGGGCCCCGCCCTCGCGCCCCCCCCCGGAGCTGATGCAAGCGCTGGGTGGGCCCGGGTCCCCCCCCCGCCCCCCGGCACGAACCCTCTATCGCGACAGAGCCGGGGCCGGGCGGGACGCGATTCCCGCTGACATCAGCCGGGCCCCCCCGCCCCCGCCCCAGCCCCGCGGATGCTCCGGAGCCGCCGCCGCAGCCGAGCCGAGCGGGACCGGGGGGCACCGCGGGGCCGGGGGGGGCCGCGGGCAGCGCCCAGCACGGAGAATCCCTGAAATCCGCCGGGGGGGGCGGAGCGGAGAAGGAGAACGGGATGCCGGAGGGAGCGGAGGCAGGTGAGGCCGCGGGGAGAGCGAGGATGAGGAGGGAGCGGGAAGAATGGAAGCGCAGGGATGGGGGATGGAGGACGAGGGGATGGAGCCGCAGAACGGGAGCGGTGAGGACGGAGCGGGGGGATGAAGGACGGAGCCGGAAGGATGAAGGACGGAGCGGAAAGGACGGAGCAGGAGGATGAGGATGGAGCGGGAGGATGGGGCCGGAGGGATGAAGGACGGAGCTGGAGCCGTCAGGAGGGAGACGGAGAGATGAAAGGGGAGCGATGGAGGGATGAGGATGGAGCAGGGGGATGAAGGACAGAGGCGCGGTGATGCAGCCCGAGGATGAGGATGGACGACAGGGCAGGAGGGGTGAGGAGGGAGCCGGGGGCTGAGGGACAGAGCCGGGGGGTGAGGATGAGGATGGAAACGAGGGACAGAGTGGGAATGACGGGGCCGGAGGATGAGGATGAGGATGGAGCGGGAGGACGCGGCCCGGCCGCGACTCTCGGCAGCCGCCACCGCCCGGGCTCGGGGCCTGCACGAGCGGGGGGCTCCGGGCCGGCCCCCCCGGCGGGGCACGGGGGGCTTTGGGGACCTCGCTGCGGGGTCACCACCCTGAGCCGCAGGACCCCAGCGGGGGTCGGCACCGGGCTGTGCCCCCCGGACTGGGAGGGGCCGGTGGGACTGGGGGGCTCAGCCTCGCGCCCCCCCGGCACCATCCCGCCATTCCCGGGGGGGGAAACTGAGGCACAGCCCAAGGTCACCCCGCTCCGGTGTCCCCGGGGGGGGCACTGTCACGTGTCGGGGGGGGGGGCTGGGGACAACCGGGAGAGCTCCCCGGGGTCATCCGCACCTTCCTGCGGGGCTGGCGACAGCGGGGACGGGGAGAGGGACACACCGCAGTGCCACCCTCCCCCCCGTGCCTCAGTGTCCCCCCGCAAAGGGGGTGAGGTTTGTGCGGGGGGGTCAGGCCGTGCCCTCCGGGGTGCACGAGGGGACCCCAGAACAGCCCCCGAGCTGTGGGGGGGCCGGGCAGGGACGCGCTGGATTAAGGGGGGTCCCTGCAGCCCCTCCCCCATTATGGAGTAGTGACCCCCCCCCCAAAGGCACTGGGGGGGAGGGGAACAGGACCCCCCCCCCATGAGCCTTTCAGGGGTCCCCAGCACGTGGCGGGGGGGGCTGTGCTGGACTGAACCATTTCGGGGGGGGGGGAAGCGGTACCTGCCCCGCAAATACCCCCGCGAGGCCCCGCCCCCTCCCGGCTCCCCCCGCGCCGGCCCCGCCCCCACCCCTTTATAACGCCCGGGGGGGGGAGGGGGGGTCGGTGCAGGAGGGGCCGGGGGTGACCGCGGGTCCCATGGAGCCGTCCCCAGGGGCCGCAGGTGAGGGGGGGGCCGGGCTGGGTTTTGGGGTGGGGGTGCAGCGCGGGGCTGAGCGCCCCCAAATCCAGCACGGGGAGGGGGGCGCGTCCCCCAGCCCATGGAGGGGGGCTCTGGGTGGGGGTCCCGCCTTGATGCGGCTGCGACCTCAGAGAGGGGTTTGGGGTCGGGGGCTGCTGCTGTCCCCGCAGTGTCCCCAAACCTGTGGGAACGCCCCCAGGTGCTCGGGAGTGGGGGGGGTGACACCAACCCCCCCCCCCCCCCCCCCGGCAGTGCCCGGAGTGTCCCCCCTCTCACCTCCACAGGGTGACCCTCCAGGACGGGGTGCCACTCGCGGTGTCCCCTCTCCCCGCGGTGCCCCGGGGGGGCTGGGGACACTCGGGGCTGTCCCCTCTCCCCGCTGGGGACACTCGGGGCTGTCCCCTCTCCCCGCTGGGGACACTCAGGGCTGTCCCCTCTCTCCGCAGCCCCCCCGCCGATGCCGGCCAAGGATGAGGCTCGTCCCCCGCCCGAGGGGGCGAGCTGTGAGCCCGGCCCCGCCGCCGCCGCCCCCCCCGGCTCGCCGTGCCGGCCGCCCCCGGCCGCGGAGCCGCTGGACACCCGCATCGTGATGGGGGAGGAGACGCGCTGCCCCCCGCCCGAGCCGCGGGGGGGACCCCCGGTGCCTTGTCCCTTCCCCGCGCCCCCCAAGGAGCCGCCCCCGGGCCGCCCCCCCGCGCTGGACCCCGAGCTCTTCTTCACCGCCCCCTCGACGCCGGTGCGGGCGGGGGGGGCGCGGCCGCCCCCCGAGGAAGCGACGGACGGGGACAGCGAGGGGCTGTGCTCGCCCCCCACGTCCCCCTCGGGCTCCTACATGACGGCGGAGGGCGGCAGCTGGGGCTCCTCGGGCACCGCCAGCACCTCCCCGTCCTGCTCCCCCAACCTGGCGGCCGAGGCCGAAGGTCTGGGCGAGGCTGAGGGCGAGGCCGAAGGTCTGGGGGGGTCCCTGGCGCTGCCCCCCGGGCTGGGGGAGCCGCCGGCCTTCCCGCCGCTGTCCCCCGAGGAGGAGGAGGATGAGGATGAGGAGGACGGTGCCTTCGCCCCCGCGGGCTGTGCGGATGATGAGGATGATGAGGACGGGCAGACGCCGGAGGAGGAGGAGGATGAGGACGAGGGCTCGGGGCTGATCCCGGCGGCGCTGCTCCCGTTCCGCGGCAGCCTCCTCTTCCAGGCCGAGGCCGTGGAGATCTCGCCCCGGGCCCCCGCCGAGGAGGAGGAGGAGGAGGATGAAGGCAGCACCTCGGCGTCCTTCCTGCGCTCGCTGTCCGAGAGCTCCATCCCCGAGGGGGGGGACGAGGCCTTCGCCTTCCGCGACGACACCGACGCCTCCTCGGACTCGGCCGCCTACGACGGGGACGAGGACGAGCGGCTGTACGGCACCGAGCGGCACGCGGGGGACACGGGGACCCCCCCGGGGACACCCCCGGCGCCCCCCGGCCCTGCGGGTGTGGAGCTCCACCTCCGGGCCGGGTCCCCGTGTCACCCCGCCGGTCACCACGCGGCTCCCGGCTCCCCGGGGACACCCCCGGCCCCCCCTGCAGGGAACACGGAGCTGGACGGGGACGCCTTTGTCACCACCGCGGGGACGTGGCCCCCGCCGGAGCCCCCCGAGGAGGCGGCAGCGACAGGAAGTTCTGGAGCGGCGCCGGGACAGGGACCTTGCCCAGAACTGGCAGCGACCGGCCCTGTCCCCCGGCCCCCCGCGCTCTGTGCCGGGGACCCCCAGAGCCACCAGCTGGGGGGGACCAGCGGGGACCCCCAGAACGGCCCCGGGGGTGACAGCGATGGGGACAATGACCTTGAGCTCAGCGCCGGGACAGCGGCGAGTGCCGATGGCCACGGAGAGCTGGACCCTGCAGCCACCGGCCTGGGGACATCGGTGACACCGACCCCCCTGGATGGGATGGACACTGCAGCCAGCGATGTGGTGACACCGGTGACACCCAGCCTGATGGACCCGGTGGACACTGACCTGGTGACACCAGTGATACCAACGCCACCGGACGAGATGGACACTGCGGCCACCAGCCCGGGGACAGCCAGTCCGGGGACAGCCAGCCCTCCTGCTGAGCCGGACACTGTGGCCACCAGCCCGGGGACAGCCAGTCCGGGGACAGCCAGCCCTCCTGCTGAGCTGGACACTGTGGCCACCAGCCCGGGGACAGCCAGTCCGGGGACAGCCAGCCCTCCTGCTGAGCTGGACACTGCGGCCACCAGCCTGGGGACAGCCAGCCCTCCTGCTGAGCTGGACACTGCGGCCACCAGCCCGGGGACAGCCAGCCCTCCTGCTGAGCCGGACACCGTGGCCACTGCCACGGTGACAGCAGGGACACCAACCCCACCAGATGGGCCAAACACTGCAGATGCTGCTCTGGTGACACCCAGCGTGATGGACAGCACAGCCACCAGCCTGGTGGCATTGGTGACACCCAGCCCGTCAGATGCTGCAGCCACTGAGGTGGTGACACCCAGCCCCCCAGATGAGCAGGACACCGTGGCCACCAGCCTGGTGACGCCAGTGACACCCAGCCCCAAAGATGAGCAGGACACCGTGGCTACCAGCCTGGTGACACCAAGCCCCCCAGATGAGCTGGCTGTGACAGCCACTGACCTGGTGGCACCCAGTCTGATGGCCAAGATGGAAGCTGTGGACGCTGTCCTGGTGACACCGGTGACGTCCACCCTGAAGGAAGCTGCGGCCGTTGACTTGGTGACATCAGTGATGCCCACCCTGATGGCCACCGTGGCCACCAGCCCGGTGCCATCAGTGACACCGCCCCCCCCGGATGAGAGGAACCCCGCGGCCACGGACGCGGTGACATCGGTGACCCCTGCCCCGCTGGACACCACGGCTGCTGCCCCAGTGACCCCGAGCGTGCCGGACCCCACAGCCCCCGAGGCGGTGACATCGGTGACACCACCCCCGCGGGACGAGACCGCCACCGTGACCGCTGACGCGGCGACCCCCGGCCCGATGGACACCGTGGCCGCCCACCCGGTGACCCCCGGCCCCCCGGCCGCTGTCCCGGCCCCGTGTCCCCCTCCCCGGGCCGTGTCCCCCGTGGCGCTGGTGGCCTCAGCCCGCGAGTCCCCGGCTGTCCCGCCGTGTCCCCTGCCGCAGCCCCCTGGGGACGGCCCCGAGCACGGGGGGGACGCGGCCACCGCCCCGCCCGAGGCTTTGTCCCCGGAGCCGCCGGTGGCCGCCCCCGAGGGCAGCGCCGGACGGCCCGAGGAGGAGGAGGAGGAGGAGGAGGAGGGAGAGGAGGAAGAGGATGAGGATGCGGATGCGGCCCCCGCGCCCCCCTCGCCGCGCTTCACGGCCTCGGAGCGGGAGGTGTTTGTGGGGACCCCCCCGGCCCCCCCCGAGCTGCTCCCACCACCCGGTGCCTTTTCGGGGCGCGGGGCCGGGCCGGGTGCCGCCGCCCCGCTCCGGGGGGCTCCCGGGGACCCTCCCCCCGCCCTGCGGGAGCCCCCCGCCCCCCGGCCGGGCCCTGAGCCCCCCGGCCACGCTGCGGCGGGCACCGATGCCAAAGTCCCCCCGAGCCCCCCCGCGGCCCCCCCCGAGCAGCAGGAGGAAGAGGAGGCTGCGGGGGCTCAGCCGGGCTCTCCCCCTGAGCCCCCCTGCCCTGCACCCCCCAAACTCAGCCAAGTGCCTCCTCCCAGCCCCCCCCAGCGACCCCTCAGCCAGGACCCCCCCCTGGGGCTGCCCCTCTCCAGGAAGCACCTGGAAGGTAAGAGAGCCCCCAGACCCCCCCGGCTGTGGGGGCTGGGGTGGGCACCGCCCGTGGGGGCACTTTGGGGGGGTCTCTGGGTGGGTGCAGCCGCGCGGGGGGGGGCGGAGGGGTTTGGGGGGGCACAGCAGCTCAGCCCCCCCCCCCCTTGCCGTGGGGTGTAGGGACCAGGGTGGGCACCCGGGGGAGCTGGGGGTGCCTTTGGGGGGTCCCAGGGTGGGCGATGGGGGTGAGCAGGGGGGGTTGAACCCCCAGAGGGGCTTTGGGGACCCCCCAGCTCAGCCCCCCTGCTCTGCCAGCCCCCCAGCCCTGCCCGCAGAAGGAGCCGGAGCCGCGGGGCCGGGCGGGGGCTCCGGGGGCTGGGGGCGGCCGCGCCCCCCCCCGGGGGTCTCTGCAGTCGGAGTCGAGCTCGTCCAGCGAGGCTGAGACCCCCCGGCCCCCCCCGGCCCCCCAGCGCTGCCAGCCCAACCACCGAGGTGAGGGGGGGTCCCGTGGGGTGCCCCCGCCTTTGGGGGGTCCGGGGAGCCCCTCTCACGTCCCCTCCCCCCTCCCCCCCCTTTGCGCAGGGTCCGGGAACGAGTCCGAGAGCAACGACGAGTCCATCCCGGAGCTGGAGGAGCCCGAGGGCTCGGAGCTGCCCCCCGCCCAGCCCCAGGTGGGGTTTTGGGGGGGCCGGGGGTGGCGGGGACCCCCGGGCTGTGGGGACCCCGCTGACCCCGGCTCTCGGCAGGTGCCCCACGGCCTGGGCCCCGGAGAGGAACCGCTCAGCAAGGCCAAGCAGAGCCGCAGCGAGAAGAAGGCCCGGAAGGTGGCGGGGGGGGGGTCCCTGGGGGAGCCCCTCGGGGTCGGGGTCCCTGTCCCAGGGTTTGGGGAGGGGCAGGTGCTCGCTCTGGGATGGGGCTGGGCTGAGGACGGCACCCCCATCTCTGTGGGCTCTGGGGTGCTGGGGGGGGGGCTGTGTGCCCCCCGGGGGGCGGGGGCTCACTCCGTGCCCCCCCAGGCCATGTCCAAGCTGGGGCTGCGGCAGATCCACGGCGTCACCCGCATCACCATCCGCAAATCCAAGAACATCCTCTTCGTCATCTCCAAACCCGACGTCTTCAAGAGCCCCGCCTCCGACATCTACATCGTCTTTGGGGAGGCCAAGGTGGGCTCGGGGGGGGCTCCGGGGGGCGGCTCCTGGCGCGGGGGGGCCCGCGGTGACCCCGAGTTCCCCGCAGATCGAGGACCTGTCCCAGCAAGTGCACAAAGCGGCGGCCGAGAAGTTCAAGGTGCCCCTGGAGCACTCTGCGCTCGTCAGCGACGCCGCGCCCGCCCTGGCCATCAAGGAGGAGAGCGAGGAGGAGGAGGAGGTGAGGCTGGGGGGCTCCCGGGACCCCCGGGGGTGGGGGGGGGATGCTGAGCTGGGGGTGCCCGGGGTTTTGTGCCGGGGAGGGGGCAACAGGGAATCTCCGGCGTGGTTTGGGGCTGGCTGCGTGCCCCGGGGGGGATCCCACGGCGCTGTGCCCCCCACCCAGGTGGACGAGACGGGGCTGGAGGTGAGGGACATCGAGCTGGTCATGGCCCAGGCCAACGTGTCCCGTCCCAAAGCCGTGCGCGCCCTGCGGCACAACAACAACGACATCGTCAACGCCATCATGGTGAGTGGGGGGCTCCGAGCCCCCTTTTCCAGGGGAACTGGGGCTGTGACCCCCCCAGGATTTGGGGTGACCCCACAATTCCCGACTCTCTGCTCTCTCCCGCAGGAACTGACCATGTAGCGGCCAGGGGAGCCCTGGCCCCCTGTATAGATGCACAGAGCCCCCCCAGATCCTTCCTCCTGCCCCCCAAATCCTCCTCCTGGCCCCCTGGACTGCTCAATAAAGGCCTCCTGCACCCCTTGGATCGCAGCTCGCCTCCCAGGCCTGGTTTTGGGGGGGTGGGGGCAGCGGAGGAAGGGCAGGATTTGGGGGAGCAGCAGCACCCCAAGGTGCCCCCAGCAGCACTGGGGGGTCAGGGGAACCCCCTCCCCCCCCAGATTTGGGGGGGTTACAGAGATCTGGGATGGGGATGAAGGCCCCGAGCTCCAAGGGGAGGGAGGGGACTCCCCAAATGCCGGCTGTGACTCGGGGGTCTCTGGTGCTGTGTCCCCCCAGGTGAGTCCCCAGAGGTGCCTCAGCCCCCGGGACACCCCAATTCCGGAGGGAGGGGCTGGGACAGCCCTGGGAGAAGGGGGGGACACCCCACGGCTGCAGAGGGGTTACAGGCACTGTGGGGGGGGGGATTTGGGGTCTCTGGAATGTGCTGGAAGCACAAAGTGCTGAGTCAGCACCTGGCTGTGGTTGGGGGGAGGACACAGAGCCCCCCCAGGTGTGGCTGTGGGGTAACCAGGGCCCTCCCAGCCCCACCTGGGACCGGTGACTGCGGGGAATCCCAGACTGCAGGAGCTGGAATGTTCAGGAATGAGAGGGTGAGAAAATTCACATTGTGGTAGAACTTCATTGGGGGGGGGGGGCAGTTCTGGGGGACCCGCTGTGCAAACTGTAAACTGGGGGTGGGGAGAGCAGATCCAGCCCCTTGGGAACAGATCCCAACAGCCAGGACAGCCCTCGGGAGCAGATCTGTCCCCAAAATCCAGGTGTGTCCCCCAGGCCCCAGCTGGAGCCCCTGGAGCTGTGGGTGAGGCTGGGACAGTGCAGGCATCCTGCTGGAGCCCCCCGATCCCACAGCAGATCCCAGGGCCGGGATCCCCGATCCCACAGCAGATCCCAGGGCTGGGATCGCTCCCAGGGCGGCTCCGTGTCCCAGGATCTCCGTGAGGGCACAGCTCGGTGCTCCTGGGCAGCCCCAGGGGTGGCTCCGTGTTCCGTGTCCTGCCACCCCCCCGAGGGCAGCTCCCTGTTCTGGGCTCCCTCTGGGGCAGCTCCACGTCCCAGGACCCCGCTCTGGGATCGGCTCCACGCTCCGTGTCCCCACGGGGGGCACCCCACGCTCCCCCCGGGGTGACTCCGTGTCCCGGGGTCCCCCCGAGCTCCGGGCGGGAGCGGCGGCGATTCCGGGGCTCCCTCAGGACGAGTCCCGGTCCAGGCTGCAGCCCAGGGCCTCGATGTCGCTGCTGATGTGGGAGATCATGCGGTCCCACTCGTCCTCCTCCGAGGGCACCGACTGCTCGTCGGAGCTGCCGGCGGCGCCGGTGCCGTTGGAGGCGGAGGCGGCGCCCAGCGAGCGCCGGTAGCGGCCGAAGCTGTCGGTGATGATGCCGCGGCCGTCCTTCACCCCGATGGTCTCCAGGAAGTTCTCGAAGTGCTGGCTGTCCTTCTCGGGGATGAAGGGCCGCAGGCCTGGGGCAGGGACACGGCACGGTGAGCGCCTGGGAGCCCCCCCCGAGGGGTGGGGACCCCCGGGGTCCCGGCAGCCACCGGGGCTGGGGGCAAAACCCGGCTCAGGTGGGATCTGCTGAGCTCCGAACGATCTCATTCCTCAGCCGGGAGCTCGCTGGGCTTTGCTGAGCTTATCCCAATCATTTGTCCCATCGGGGACATCTGTCCTGTCCCCTCGGTGTCCCCAGGGCCCCACGTGGGACACACTGCTCCTGTCCGGGGAGGTTAAACTCCTGTTCCCTGGGCAGCACAGGCCAGGTGAGATCCCCAGGTGCACTCAGACACTGCTCCTGTCCTGGGGGGGTTTTGTGTTTCCTGGGGTATCACAGGCCAGGTTGTTTGAATATCCCTGGGCTGGAGATTTCCAGGTCTGGATTAAATTCCCTGGCTCTGGAGGAGGTTTCCAGCTCTGGGACAGAGTCTCGGGTCTGGATTAGGTTGCCCGGATCTGGAGGAAGTTGCCAGGTGCTTCACAGGCAGGGAACAGGTCCGAGGAGAGCCTGGAGCTGTGGGCTGGGCTGGGCTGGATGGACCAGCTGCCCTCAGGAAGGAGGAACCCCCAGAGGAGCGATGGATGGGGACGTTTCCCCTCCGCTGGTGGCACCCCAAGCTCCCCCTGTGCCCCCAGCCCCCGGGCTCTGGGAGCCCCAGCACTCACCCAGGAGCAGGAATTTCCTGCTGTCCCCGTAGAGCTGCTTGAGGTTGATGCAGAACTCGTGGATGGAGGCCCCGTTGCGGTACTCGTGCAGCAGCATGGCAAACTGCTGGATCTCCTGCGAGGACAGCTTGGTGCGGAGCTGCGGGGACACACGGGAACGGTGACTGCCGGGGAACGGGGCTGGGAGGGCCAGGGGAGCTGGGGAACGGGGCTGGGAGCTTGGGAATGGGGCTGGGGAATGGGGCTGGAAGGGGCAGGGGAGCTGTGAGCCTGGGAATGGGGCTGGAAGGGACAGGGGAGCCCATGGGAAAGCAGGGGTGAGCTCTGGGGGTCGCTGGGACTGTGACTTGTGGAGGCCTGGGGCACGAGGGGACTCGGACTCTGGGAAAGGGAAAAGGGAGGGATGGTCCTGTGGGAGAAGCAGAGCCCAGAGGAGGCCCCGGAGCTGCTCCAGGGCTGGAGCCAGGCTGGGAGAGCTGGGAATGTTCCCCTGGAGAGGAGAAGCTCCAGGGAGAGCTCAGAGCCCCTTGCAGGGCCTGAAGGGGCTCCAGGAGAGCTGGAGAGGGACTGGGGACAAGGGATGGAGGGACAGGACACAGGGAATGGCTCCCAGTGGAAAAGTGGCGATTTAGATGGGATCCAGGGAAGAAATTCCTGGCTGGGAGGGTAGTGAGGGACTGGAATGGATTTCCCAAAGAGGCTTTGGCTGCCCCTGGATCCCTGGGAAGTGCCCCAGGCCAGGCTGGAGGGGGCTCAGAGCAGCCTGGGGTAGCAGAAGGGTGTCGCTGGCATGGCAGGGGGTGGGACTGGATCATCCTTACAGCCCCTCCCCACCCCGACTATGGTTCCGTGACACGAGCCCGGTGTGGCTGGGAAGGAGGAGCTGCTCCCTCCCAGCCCTCTCCTGATCCCAAAGCTCACCGTCATCATGTAGTCCTGGAGCAGCTCGGTGGCCGTGGTGCTGAGCTCGCTCTCGCTGGCCGTGGTCACGTGCGGGGACGGGCGCGCCGAGGAGGACGGGGACGCGTCCCCCGCCTCCAGCGTGTCTGCAAAGGAACTGACACCGCACCCCCTGAGCCCCCCGCGCCCCTGGGGGCTGTGCTGGGCTCTGGGGGGCTGCTGCAGGGCTGGGGGCTGCACTCTGACCCTCGGGGTGTTCCACGGTTCTGGAAGCCCCCAGCTCCTGAGGGCACCCCAAGACTCCCTGGGAACCGAGCACTGCTTTGGTGACAGTGACAACGAAGTGTGGGAATTATCCCTCTGGCTCCTTCCTCCTTGGGAACAACACAGGGAGAAACCCCCACGCTCTGGGCTCAGATGTGGAATTTCCCACAAGGCTCCCAACTCCCCCACGCTAGCCAGTGGTTTGTATGCTAGGATTTCATCCCACAAACGCTGTCCGTGCTCCCAGCGCCCCAGGAGGGGGAAGAGTTTCACAAATAACCAGTTCTGGGGGAAAACCCTTCTCCCAGCTCCAGCTGGGCTCCAGCTGCTGAGCCAGCACGGTGCTGACGCGGGGACGCTGTGGATGTGATTCCCTGGAATGCTGAGGGCAGAGCAATCCAGGATCCAGGATGCGTGCCAACCCCCCCGGGCTCAGCTGAGCTCCCCGACGTGCCGACGGCAGCAGATCCGGGTTAATCCCGGCTCCGGGGGCTGGGGATCACTCACAAAGTGCTGGCGTCCGCCTCGAAGGGCTCCTTCACGTCCACTTTGGTGGAAGAGTCATCTGGAAGGAAAAGATTTGGGAGCTGGAACGTGAGAGGCACAAACTCGGTGTCTTCCCAAGCCAGGAGAGACACAGAGCGATTCCTGAGTGGGCTGGAAGAGGCCAGGAATGAGGGACCAGGTGAGAGGGAACGGCCTCGGGCTGCGCAGGGGAGGAGGCTCAGGCTGGATCCCAGAATTCCCTCATGGAAAGGGCACTGGCTGCCCAGGGAGGGGTGGATGTGGCACCGGGGACACGGGCAGGGGTGGCCGTGGCGGTGCTGGGGACATTCCCCGTGAGGGCAGCAGGACACACGCACCGCTGTGCAGGGACAGGTGCCGCGTGGGCGTCGAGGCGCCGTCGAAGATGGCGCGGTCCAGGAAGTCGATGGTGGACTCGGTGTAAACGATCTGGAAGACTTGGCTGAGCAGGGAGCACAGCTCCTCGGCACCCACCTGGGAAGGAGCAGGGAGCTGGGGCAGGGAGCTCCCTCAGCCCCCGCCGTCCCCGCGCAGCCGGAGCTGGGACGATCCAGCAGCGACCCCGGAGCCCCCCAGGTTCTGTGCCGAGGCTCCTCCGTGAGGATGAGGAGTCCGGCTCGTCCCAGAGGGTGCGGGGCCCCAGGCAATGTCAGAGTGAGTGAGGGGAGTGAAACTCCACCCTCAGTGGAGATCAGAGAGGCTGAGACCGGAATCCCTGGATCCCGACTCTGGATGAAAGAAATTCCCAGGTCAGCACAGGGCAAACACCCTGATCAGCAAAAGCTCACTGTGGGATTGTGTGGATCGTGTGCTGCTGCTGCAGAAGGCTCTGGGCGACAGGAACCAAGGGAAACGCTTCCTGGAGACCCTCCTGCGTCCCAGGGTTGGGACAGGGACCAGGATTCCTTCTCCAGGTGCTCCAGCCACACCTGGCATCCTTAAATCCGTGTCCCACGAGGTGTGAGAGCAGGGATGGATGCGGACACACCCCAGGACTCGGCTGCTGTGGGGTTTGTGACTCCACCACCACCACCATGATCCGAGAGGCAGAAAGCTGCCAGCAATGCCCATGGCTCTGAGCCCAGGGTTTCCCAGGGGTTCCCGGGGTTCCCAGGGGTTCCCAGGGGTTCCCGGGGTTCCCAGAGGTTCCCGGGGTTCCCAGGGGTTCCCTGTACCTTGCTCTCCGTGGCCAGCACCACCAGGCAGCAGGACTCCAGGGGTCCCCCCGCGCTCTCCGACAGCGAGCCCGACGTCAGCGCCTTGGAGCCCTCGGCACACAGGCTCTGGCTCGGCGAGATGCCGGGATCCTGAGCTGAGGGGAGAGGAGAGGTGAGGGGAAGGAGTCCTGCAGGTGAGGAAGATGGAAAGCCTCCAGTTTGGAGCTGGTTGGGACGGCTGTCCGGCTCTTTTCACAGCTCAGAATTCCACGGCCGGATTTCCAGCCCCCGAGGCGTTTATTCCTTTATCCCACAGCCTATCCACGGGGTTTGTAACCAGGTGAAGCCCTGGCTCAGCCCTTCCCAGCTCCCTGTCCCCAAACCAGGCAGGTGTGACACGCACAGGGCTGCACAGGACAGGGAGCACGGTGTCATGGAGCGCTTTGGGGTGGAGAGACCTCCAGCAGCACCCAGCCCCATCCCCTGCCGTGGCCAGGGACACCTTCCGTGTGCCAGGAGGCTCCGTGCCCAGCCCCAGGGGGACAACCCCAACTCGCTGGGCACAGCTCACCTGTCTTGAGCACCACCAGGTGTGCGGAGTCGTCGCGGATGTAGGACACGGAGGCGATGTCGTGGATGGGCACCCTGAGGATCAGGTCCTCGCCGTCCCTCCACACCAGCTTGACGTTGTAGGCGGAGAGGCTGATGACGGCGTCGTGCTCCGGGGTCAGCTGCCCCGGGAGCTGGTGGGCTCTCTGGAACGCCGCAATTCCCATGGATTCAGTCGTGGGATGGTTGTGGTTGGAAGGAGCTTTAGGATCACCCAGCTCCGTGCTGCGGGCAGGGACACCTCCCGCCACCCCAGGCTGCCCCCCACCCAACCTGGGGCTTCTCTGGGAATCCCACTCCAGCCCCTCGCCGCCCTGGCAGGGGTGTTTTCCCTTTGGGAAACGCCTTCCCTCCGCCCAGGATGGAGCAGAGCAGCTGCCCGAGGCCCCAGCCCTGGGGAAGCTCCGTGAACCCCGGGTTTTGCCTGCTGGGAGCCCCGGCGCAGCCGAGCACTCACCTTGGCGTTGTCGATCAAGTGCAGGATCTCGGTGCGGCTGGAGGGGTTCAGGTACCCCGGGATGGAGGTGAGCTGCCCTAGATACTGCGAGAGAAGAGCCCAAGCGTTAGCACAGCACGGACACGGCCCCGGACACGGCAGAACGAGTCACGGAGACGCCCCGAGGGAAACTGGAGATGGGTGAGAGGTGGGAATGGGGAAAAAGCTCCACAGAAACCTCAGAGCCCCTCCCAGCCCCTAAGGAGCTTCGGGAGAGCCGGAGAGGAACTTGGAGGAGGGGAACGGGTTCCCAGTGGGACGTTGGGAAGGAATTCCCGATGAGCAGGGCCCTCGTGGGTACCTTGACTTCCTTCTCGATGTAGTCGTGGAGCAGCAGGTCGGGCTCCACGCGCTCGGGAAGCGCCACCAGCACCGTGTGCAGCGGCCGCCGCTCCGTCACCTTCTCCTGAGCCTTCTTATCCCGGCCCTTCTCCCCCTTCAGGAACACTCGCTTGAACGGCGACACGATTCCGGGCTGGGGAGGGCGACAGCAGCGCGGGGATGGGGGTGAGGAGGGGGCTCGGCACCGGCACCGGGGGGCTGGCAGCCCCTCCAGCCTCAGCCCCATCCCCGGTTTGGAGCTACACATCCACGGCTTTCCAGAGAAATCCCTTTTCCTGGGATACAACACAAGGGCTGGGTGTTCCCATCACCAAAATGTGGGGTTTTCCCCCCAAAGTCACCACGTTCAACCTTCCAGGTAAGAGAGATACAGCTCCTATGTGCCACAACATATTCCAGGTGAACAGCGGATCCACAGGGGTTCTCCGTGCTTTTGTACCTCCCTGAGGATCTGCTGGGAAAACTCAGCAAGGAATGCCAAAAAAGCAGGCAGGAATGTTCCAAGGAGACCCCAAAGAGTGAGAAAATGACCCAGAAAATGGATTTCCCTGGGACAAACGGGGAATTTCAGCCCTGAAGCGCCAGGTTTGGCACTGGAGCCAACACAGAGGCTCCCAGCCGTCCTTTGGCACGGGAATGGCACGTGGATCACACCGAGCTCCAAGAATGACCGGGAACATCCCCAGACTGCTCCAATTCCAGCTTTACAGGGGAAGTGGAGCAGACAGATCCAGGTGTCCCTGCTGGCCTCAGCTCCCCAGCCCTCGGGACAACCACATCCCGGCTTTCCTGATCCTCAGGGCCGAGGGAAAGGAATGTGGGGTCCAAAGGGACAGAGAACATCCTTCCAATGGCGAATTAATGAAATGTAAAGCAAGGAAAAGCTCCTGGGACAACGGGAATTGCCAGCTCCCGAGGAAACACGAGGATGTTGGGGACATGCCTTGGGTCAGGGAGAGCAAAATGAAGGGATCTGACGGGACAGAGAGGACACAGCTCCACAGCCCTGCCCCAGGAGCAGCAGTGCGGGTTTCTGGTTAGCATCCCTCCATGGAGCATCCAGGATCATCATCCTCCATCAAGATATTCCATAATCCCAAGGGGGCTCTGGAGAGAAGGAAATCCTGAACAGATCTGTTTCCCAACAACAGAGATTTGGGGACTCCCCAACTTTGGGATGTCCCATCCAAAACCTTCCCTGCCAACGCCCGAGGACGCAATTCCGCAGGAACCCTTCGGGAATGCGGAGCAGAGCCATGCAGGGATGTGCCACTGGGCCCCAGGACATCCCCACACACGCTTCCCCCTCCAGCAGGCAGGATCCAGATCCACCCCAATCCACGGAAAACCCCTTTCCCTCAGGGATGTGGCTGCATCCGCAGGGATGGGACGATTCCGTGTTCCCCTGGCTGTCCCGGGGACTCCGAACCCCGGCCGCAGGCGCCTCCGGCTGTGACGCAGCCCCAAAACAGCTTCTGCTTTTGGGGTACCCCAAATCCCAGCACCCACCTCGTCCTCCATGGGGTTCCCAGCAGGAGAGGGGCTCCGGGGGGAGCCGTGGGAGCTCTGGGGGGAGCAGGGAACGCTCCCCTCGCTTTGGGGGTGCCGGAATGGAGCTGCTCGGGGCCAGGAAGTGCCACGGCCACGGCTTCCTCCGTCCCACGTGACAGAACGAGCCGGGGACGGAACCACGGCAGCACCAGCCCGTTCATTCCCTGCTCCCGCTCCCTGCTCCCGCTCCCTGCTCCCGCTCCCTGCTCCCGCTCCCTGCTCCCGCTCCCTGCTCCCGCTCCCTGCTCCCGTTCCCTGCTCCCGTTCCCTGCTCCCGTTCCCTGCTCCCGTTCCCTGCTCCCGTTCCCTGCTCCCGTTCCCTGCTCCCGTTCCCTGCTCCCGTTTCCGTTCCCCGCTCCCGTTCCCCGCTCCCCGGTCCCGTTCCCCGCTCCCGTTCCCACCCCCGCTCCCGTTCCCCCTCCTGCCCACGCTGCCATCAGCCCAGGGCACGGGGCTGGATATTCGGGATAACCAAGGACTTTCAAGGAGAGTTTCCCCCAAGCTCAGCAATACTCAGTGACGGCCATTCCCTTCAGCACGGCAGGGAAATGCCGGAGCAGCTGCTGGAAGAGGCACCAAGCTCAGTTATCCAGGTTATCCCTCGGTTATCCAGGGCATCCCCGAGCTGGGAGAGCTGGGAATTTCACGCTAACAGCTGCTTACACGGAGAATTCCCTCAGGGAATTTCCCTGCAGGCTTTGGAGCACTGGCACTCACCACATGGATGGTGGAGTCAGACCAGCAGGGAAATCATTCCCAGAAAATTCACCCCCAGCCACAATTCCCCCTGGGAATAAAGAGCCCACGGCCCTGATGGAATTCTGGACGGATCCATCCTGCCTCCCAGAACTTGTGGGAAATGGGATTCCACCCCAGCACAGCTCCACATTCCCACTGGGATAGCCACAAGGGAGATCCAGGGAACATCAGCTCCTGGAAGGAATTCCAAGGCTCCAGTTGAAACCAGTTCAGATTTTATCCCAAGCTGGACTCGGCCCCGAGCCTGGATTTTCCTCCTTGTCCCAAGGCAAGCTGTCCTGAGCTCCCTTTGGATCAGGACTGAGGGAACTCGGCTCAGAATGCCGCTGGAATGATCCACAGAGGGGGAAAAGCAGGAATGAGAGTTTCCCCCGCAGCTGGAACATCTCAGGAAGCCGAAGATGGATCTTCCCCTCTCCGCAGCCAAATGATCCAAGTTTATTACTGGATTACCAGGGTGATCCCCAGGCAGCAGCTCCAAGGGTTCATGAGCCACCCAAAGGATGGAGAACTTGCTCCAGGAGGTGATGGATCCGCTGAGGAGGGGCCACAGCCGAGGCCCTGCCCCGCGATCCATCGGGAGCAGGGCAGGAGTGGCCACGGTGGGAACCGGCACTGCCCAAGGGGGCACTGGAACACCGGGATCAGCCCTGGGAGAGGGCAGGAGCAGGGATCCCTGGGATGGCAGGGATAGCAGGGATCAGAGGGATCACAGGGACTGCGGGGATCTCAAGGATCCCAGGGATCGCAGGGCTCACAGGATCACAGGGATCGCAGGGATCTTGGAGATCTCAGGGCTTAGTGGGATCAGAGGGATCTCAGGGCTCACAGGTATCAGAGGGATCCCAGGGATCGCAGGGATGTCAGGGCTCACAGGGATCTCAGGGATCCCAGGGATGTCAGGGTTCACAGATATCACTGGGATCAGAGGGATCCCAGGGATCACAAGTGTGCTCATCCAGGTGGGATAAGAGGCTCAGGGGCCCAGCCCAGCGTGTCCCTGGGGCAGGGAGCAGGGAACGATCCAGAATGTTCCAGGAGATAAAGCGGGATGGCCCAGGTGAGCCAGAACCCCCTGGAGCAGCGGGATTCCTTCCCAAAGCAGGATCATCCAGAACTCCCTCCCGCCGCATGTCCCGCGGCCACCCCTGCCTGCAACTCCCACATCCGCCTGCCTGGGAAGCCTGCAGGGCAATCCCAAACAAATCCCGCTGGCTTTTCCCCATTCTGGACCCATTCAGCAGGAACCTGCTGCGAGCTGCCGGGACCCCGCCAGCCCCGGGGCTCCCGAAATGCCCGATTTCCCCCGGAATTCCGGGATCAATGCCATCCTCCTGCCCCAGGCGTGCGGAGCAGCTCGGGCTGAGCCTGGCCAGGGGACACGGAGGGGCTGGAGGGGGAATCAGCGCTCCTGTGTGCCCCGGAGACACGATAAGCACATAAATTAATGTAACGCAAAATAATAACCTAACCGATAATAATATAATAACGCATAAATTAATAGGGCTATGAATTCAATTAAGGTGCAGCACTAACGATTTAAATAAATTAGCGAGCTCATCAATGAATCGCTCCGTAATTAATGACCCCATCAATTAATAACCTTGTCCGAGCCCTCATGCACGGCGCGGGGTTTGGGGGGGATCGGGGCCGGGCCCCGGGGAGGGGAAGCCGGGACCTCCCGGGAAGGGGCTCAGGAGCAGCCCCGGGAGGGGATCGGGCACCGGGCACCGGCAGCGCTGCCCCCGGGCCCCCGCTCTCACCTTCTTGCCCTTCTTGCCCTCCTCCTCCATGGCTCCGGCGGCGGCCCGGGCCCCCCCCGGGGCATCCCGGCCCGGGGCAGCGGCGGGGCCTCAGCGCGCGGCGGCGGCGGCGGCCATGGCCCGCCCTGTTCCCGCTCCAGCCCCGCCTCCCGGTCCCGATCCCGATCCCGGTCCCGGTCCCGGTCCCGGCGCCGCCTCAGCGCCCGCGGCTCGGCCCCGCCGCCATCTTGGGCGGCGCCTTCCCGTGACGTCATGGTCCCGCGGCCGAGGGGAGGCGAGCGCAGTGCGCATGCGCCAGACAGGCCACACTGCAGGCCACGCCCACCCTGAAACCACGCCCGCCGCCACGGGGTCACGCCCTCCGTGGCCCCGCCCCCATTGTGATGTCATAAATACGACCGCAGCTTCAGACCACGCCCCTTTCAGCCCGCCGCGCAGTTCTGTGACGTCAGCACGAGGCGCCGCTCTCTCCGCCATGGCCGCCGCAGCAGCCGGTGAGGGCGGGATGGCGGCCCGTGCGCATCCGCCGCCATCCGCGCCCGGTGCCGCCCCCGCGGGACCTCCGATGGCTCCCGGGGCCGCGCGGTGCGTCCTGGGAAGGGCTGCCGGGGCTGTGCCGGGCAGTCCCGGCGGATGGAGGCTCCCTCGGGAGCCGTTCCCGCCGCAGGCTCCAGCATGGCGGGGCCTGCCGTGACCCCTGCCATTCCTGCAGCGCTGCCAGAGCATCCCGGGGCCGTTTGAGGCCGCTCCCGGCGCTCCCCGGGGGCGGTCATAGACCCCCCGGACATCCCGGGCTGGGTGGGATTGCGGGAGCCCGAAACCTCCGGGCACGGCCCGTGACATTCCCGCCCCTTCCCGTTCCAGGCGCCGCTCCAGAGGGGGATCCAGACGGATTCAAGAAGCCGCCGTGGAGAAGGAAGTGGATTCGAGGGAGCTGCCGCCGTAATTAACCCAATTTTGGTTAATTAGGGCTGTGAATGCCGTGAGACGCGGAGCTCCGTCCCGGCAGGGTTCGTTTGTCAGCACCGCCCGCCCGGGTGAGGCTCAGCGGCTCCTCGGGCCCCAGCGCGGGTGTGAGGGCTGGGATGAGCACGGGAGTGTCGGGGAGATCTGCTCCGGGGAGCCGGGGGTGCCCCCGGTCACCCTGGGGTGTCCCCGGTCACCCTGGGGTGTCCCTTCTCACCCTGGGGTGTCCCTTCTCATCCTGGGGTGTCCCCTGTCCCCCTGGGCTGTCCCCTGTCACTCCTGGGGTGCCCCCCCCCCGCCAGCACATCCCGGTGCCCCTCAGATCCCGGGATTCCCTGTGTCCCCCGTGTCCCCAGCTGTCCCCAGCTGTCCCCGTGTCCCCCCGCAGGCTCCAGCGTGGGGGTGCCTGCTGTGGCTCCCCCGTTCCTGCAGCGCTGCCAGAGCAGCCGGGGCCGTTTGAGGCCGCTCCCGGCGATTCCCGGGGGCGGTTATGGAACCCTCGCACATCCCCGGGCCCGGGGGGAGGGGGACAGGGGGACATTCCTGCCCTGGAGGGGGAGACAGGGGGACATTCCTGCCCTGGAGGGGGGGACAGGGGGACATTCCTGCCCTGCAGGGGGGGACAGGGTGACATTCCTGCCTTTCCCATCCCAGGCTCGCTCCCTGCTGACCCACAGCGATTCAGGAAAGCAGCAGGACGGAGGAAGTGGCCGCGGCGCTCTCGTCACCGTAATTAACCCAGTTGTGGTTAATTAATGCTGCCAGCACAGGGTGTGCTGCTGTCACCTGCCCGTCCCACCCTTCCCGGGCCGTTATCCCCCAGGGATTGATTTATCCAGGATGGAAGGAGGAGCTGGAGCAGATTCCGTGGGGAAAATGAGGATTCAGAAGTGCCGAAGTTAGGGAATTAAACGTGAACCTGTAGTTTTTCCACGCTTTGATTGCAGAGCTTCTTTTGTTTCTGGTGAAAGGGATAAAAGCAGGGAGGGAGTGCGAGGGGAAGGAGAAGCTCCAGGTGCTGGAGCAGGGACCCACAGCGTGTCCCCATGTCCCAGATCCTGGTGTCCCAATGTCCCAGATCCTGGTGTCCCAATGTCCCAAATCCTGGTGTCCCAATGTCCCAGATCCTGGTGTCCCCATGTCCCAATGTCCCAAATCCTGGTGTCTCAAATCCTGGTGTCCCCAAGTCCCAAATCCTGGTGTCCCCATGTCCCTGTGCTCACGTCCTGTGTCCTGGTGTCCGTCTGGGGGCTGATGGACTGGGACAGGGGGAGCAGGGATGTGATTCCCAGTTGGATCTGGGAGCAGGGATGTGATTCCCAGTTGGATCTGGGAGCAGGGATGAGATTCCCAGTTGGATCTGGGAGCAGGGATGTGATTCCCAGTTGGATCTGGGGTTGGATGTTATTCCCAGTTGGATCTGGGAGCAGGGATGTGATTCCCAGTTGGATCTGGGGTTGGATGTGATTCCCAGTTGGATCTGGGAGCAGGGATGTTATTCCCAGTTGGATCTGGGAGCAGGGATGTGATTCCCAGTTGGATCTGGGAGCAGGGATGTTATTCCCAGCTGGATCTGCTGTGCTCCTGCAGGATCTTGGAAGCGGCTGAGGAGCTGCTCCTGTTCTGTTACCGGCTCAAACAATTAACGGATCAATTACTGGACCAGATAATGACATTAACGGGTTAAATACTTTAATGGCATTTAATAAGATAAAACTCCTGTTACTCTGATTGATCCACGTTGTTGGAGCAGCCGTGTGGGGAGAGCGAGGCGTCCCTGAGACCACCGAGGCGTCCTGGAGCCCTCAATACACAACACGACACTGGGGGGCCGCGGGAGCTGGGTAAATGGGTAATTAACGGGTTAATTAATTAACGGCACCCCGATAGGGCGGCCTTGAAAGGGCTGGGGACGGGCCGCGCATGGCCGGTTGCCATAGCAACCACTCTACTTCCGGGGCGGGGCTTGGCCATGACAACAGCCGTCTCCTCCAATCAGCGGGAGAGGCGCCCCATGGCAACTGCGCATGTCGCGCTCCGAGTGGGCGTGGCCACGCGGACCCTTTTATGGGCGGGGCGTTGCCATGGGAACGGAGCCGGAAGTGTCGCGCGGACTCGGTGTCCCGTGAGCCCCCGCGCGCGGTTCCGGCGGGCCGGGATCGGGCCGGGATCGGGCCGGGATCGGGCCGGGATCGGGCCGGGATCGGGCCGGGATCGGGCCGGGATCGGGCCGGGATCGGGCCGGGATGGAGGCCGTGCCCCGCATGCCCATGATCTGGCTCGACCTGAAGGAGGCCGGCGAGTTCGCCTTCAACGCCGCCGTCAAGAAGGTGGGGCCGGGGCCGGGGCCGGGGCCGGGCCGGCGGGGCCCGGGCGGGGGTTTGGGATCCGGGAGGGACACGGGAAGGTCCGGGCGCCTTCGGGGGTCCCGGGAAGGGGGAACGGCGGTCGGGGATCGGAGCTGAGGGGTTTGGATCGGGACGGGGAGAGGACGGGATCCCTTCCCGAAGGCTCCCTGCCACCCCCGCGGAGACCTGCTTAATTAGTCACTTAATTAGCGGCGCCAAACAAGCTCCAGCCCGTGCCGCGGGATTTCGGGGGCTCCTCAGGGCCGGCCTGGCTCCCCCCGCGGTTCTGGGGGGCACAGGCGGTGCCCCTTGGCCGCTTCTCCCTGCCCGCAGCTCCCTGTCCCGGCTCAGCCGTTCCCTGATCCCACCGGGATCCCAGCGTGATCCCAGCGATCCCACTCTGATCCCATCCTGATCCCAGTGATCCCAGCGTGATCCCAGCGATCCCATCCTGATCCCAGTGATCCCAGCGTGATCCCAGCGATCCCACTCTGATCCCATCCTGATCCCAGTGATCCCAGCGTGATCCCAGCGATCCCACTCCGATCCCATCCTGATCCCAGTGATCCCAGCGCGATCCCAGCGATCCCATCCTGATCCCATCCTGATCCCAGTGATCCCACTCCGATCCCATCCTGATCCCATCCTGATCCCAGTGATCCCAGCCCGATCCCAGCGATCCCACTCCGATCCCATCCCGATCCCAGTGATCCCACTCCGATCCCATCCTGATACCAGTGATCCCGGCCTGACCCCACCCTGATCCCACTGACCCCACACCGATCCCACCCCTATCCCAGTGATCCCACCCCGATCCCAGTGATCCCAGCCTGACCCCACCCCGATCCCAGTGATCTCACCCTGACCCCACCCCGATCCCCGCTGCCCGTGGGTGGGATTGGGATTCTCCCCCGTGGGATCTCGGGGCCGCTCACCCTGTGCCTCCCCAGTTTGTGCTGAAGAACTATGGGGAGAACCCCGAGAGCTACAACGAGGAGCTGCGGAAGCTGGAGCTGCTCCGGCAGGTGAGGGGACCCTCGGGGCCGCCCCGGGGGGCTCTGGGCTGGCTCTGCCGCCCCCCCCGGGCCGGGGGCTGTGCCTCAGCTGCTCCCCTCCCTCTCCCGTGCCCCACGGAGCGGCCCTTGGGTGATCCCGGTGATCCAGGAGCCGGGAGCTGCTGCCTGGGGGGAGCAGGGACAACTCCCCAGGGATCCCAAAGCCTGGGGGGGGTCCCAGCAGGCCCAGAGAGGGGGGCTCAGACACCCCCAGCCCAGCACTGGGATTTCTCCTGAGGCAGGAGGGCAGGAAATGTTCCCAGGACTCCCCAATCCCCGCGGTTCTCCCGGCCCTGGGGGCTGTGCCAGGGCTGCAGAGCCTCGCTTTCCCAGCCGCGTTTTTGGGGCAGCACGGCTGCTCCCGGGGCTTGGCGGGAGCCTGGGGCGGTGCTGGCTCGGCCTCCCCCACAGCACAGCTCCAGGATGTGTCCCCTGTCCCTGCTCCTGCTCCTGTCCCTGCTCCTGTCCCTGTCCCTGTCCCTGTTCCTGTCCCTGCTCCCGTCCCGTTCCCGTCCCGTTCCCAGAGCGCCGTCAGCGTTCCCAGGGATTTCGAGGGCTGCAGCACCTTGCGCAAGTACCTGGGGCAGCTGCACTTCCTGCAGAGCCGCATCCCCATGGGAAACGGGCAGGACGCGGCCGTGCCCGTCACCTGGTGAGCGACTGGGATCGGGGGTCTGGGATCTGGGGTGTGGGATGGGATCTGGGATGGGTTCAGGGGTCTGGGATCTGGGGTGTGGGATGGGATCTGGGATGGGATCTGGGGTGTGGGGTGTGGGATGGGATGGGGGACTGGGATCTGGGATGGGATCCAGGATAGAGGGCTGAGCTGGGCAGGGTGCGGCCATGCCCGTCACCTGGTGAGCGACTGGGATCTGGGGTCTGGGGTGTGGGATGGGATCTGGGATGGGTTCAGGGGTCTGGGATCTGGGGTGTGGGATGGGATCTGGGATGGGGACTGGGATGGGGATCTGGGATAGAGGGCTGAGCTGGGCAGGTGAGGTGAGGGGCTGGGATGGGGACTGGGATGGGGATCCAGGATGTGGCCGTGCCCATTCCCTGTGGAGGAGCTGCTCCAGGACCCCCCTGGGGAATGGAGTCCTGCCCAGGGTGGCACAGGGGGATCCCAGGGGATCTCTGGGGAATGGGGTCCTGGGAACCCTCGGGGAATGGGGCTCCCAGTGATTCCTCCTGGGAGAATCCCTGTTTGCTCCCTGTCCTGTGCCTCCTTCCCCAGGACTGAGATCTTCTCGGGCAAGGCGGTGACACACGAGGACATCAAGTACGAGCAGGCCTGTGTCCTCTACAACCTGGGTGAGCTCTGCATTCCCTCAGCTCCGGGGCTCCTGGCCCCAGCCCCCTTTCCCAGGGGCTCTCGGGGTGTCCCTGAGCCCCCACCTGTCCCCACAGGAGCTCTGCATTCCATGCTGGGAGCCATGGACAAGCGAGTGTCTGAGGAGGTAACGGCCCCGCCGTGCCAGCGCTGTCCCCGGGGCACAGGTGGCACCTGGGCAGTGCCAGCTGCGTGTGGCAGGGCCTGTCCCTGTCCCTGTGCTGGGCACTGTGGGGAACCTGGAGCAGCTTTGGGGTCTGCAGGTGCAGGACATTGAGGGGCTGGAGCACCAGGAGGGGCTGAGGGGACTCAGGAGGAGCCTTGGGGACAGGAGGGGACAGCCGGGGGGGGTCGGGCTCTGCTCCCAGGAACAGGGACAGGAGGAGAGGGAACGGCCTCAGGCTGGGCCAGGGGAGGCTCAGTTGGAAATTTGGAATATTCCTTCCCCAAAAAGGCTCTCCAGCCCTGGCCCAGCTGCCCAGGACAGGGTGGAGTCCCCATCCCTGGAGGGATTTAAAATCCCTGTGGATGTGGCACCATCAGGGACACGATCAGGAATGGATTCCCATGATCTGGGAAACTTTTCCAAGCCCAAGGATTCCGTCCCCTCAGGGCATGAAGGTTTCCTGCACCCACTTCCAGTGTGCTGCCGGTGCCTTCACCTACCTGCGGGATCACTTCCCTCATTCCTACAGCGTGGACATGAGCCACCAGATCCTCAGCCTCAACATCAACCTCATGCTGGTAGGGATGGGGACACGGGGACACCTGGAGCGTGTCCGTGGGGCTGGTGTTCCCTCTGCATCCCGGTGTCCTCCAGGGGTTCCTTGTGGGGTCTGGGCTGTCCCAGGGGCTGGGGACACTGAACACTGCTCTGTCCCCGGCAGGGCCAGGCACAGGAGTGTCTCCTGGAGAAGTCCATGCTGGATAACAGGAAGAGCTTCCTCGTGGCCCGGATCAGTGCCCAGGTGAGCTCCAGGAGCTGCTCCCAGGATCCCGGGATCCTTTGGGCAAGGGCCTGCAGTGACAGGACACAGGGAATGGCTTCCCACTGCCAGGGGAGATGGGGGGGAGTATTGGAAGGAATTCCTGGCTGTGAGGTGGGTGAGGGACTGGAATGATTTCCCAGAGCAGCTGTGCCTGCCCCTGGATCCCTGGAAGTGCCCAAGGCCGGGCTGGATGGGGCTGGGAGCAGCCT